AAGTAGCTGGAAGTCCCCTGCTGTCATGTCATCCACATGTAAGATCACTTTGGCTTTTATTCAGTTCCAGCAACCATGAAAAGCAACTCACAGACCAACTACTTCTTTCTCCAACATAATTTTTACTACTTTTATTCATGTTGAAACGATGGGTTTATCTTAAGTAGTACGGAGGCGTGCGGTTAGTTTTGATTTTATTTCCTCCAGGTTTTCTACCTCAACTCAAACACAATGCAGGAGACTTGAATTGCTCACAGGATGACAAATATTCAGCAGTAAATTCTCTTTCCAGAAACATGTCTGGATAGTCCACAGAACATGTTGTGTACAGTTTTCTTTTTAACTACTTTCTACCAAAGAAATAGTCCTGTTGACTGTGATGTCTGTGCATTATAATGAGTAATAGGGACAAATATGTTTCTTCACAATTTGGTTGAACCAAAACGTTTTATTGCTGCTCAAAATTACTGAAACTGAAGCAAGAACACAAAAACTATGTACGGTATTCTGCTTGCGTCATCGATTACAAAATTCGAATGAAAGAAACAAACAGCAGCACCTCATCCAAATGTGGTGACTGTCCACAACTACAGACACGTAACAACACATTGCCAGTAAGCTACCCCCTTCTCTTTAGCATTCCTGTCATCTGTAAACCCTTCAGCACCAATCTGCGGACATTACCCAGACTGCCAAATATAAACACAAGCAGACTGCACTTGTATCAAAGCTGTCAGACAGCATTTATAAGAAGCTGCTACTTTAAAACCTTCATATGGAACACTTCCTCCAGACTAGACTATGATCAAAAACCCAATTGCAAAAAGACAACTTTCTGTCATTCTCAATAAAGATAATGAAAACATCATGTTTGCAGCAATTTAGTCATGCAGCACTGCAATATCTTAAAACATATGACCTTATGTATGTCCTTAGGTCAACTATTCTTTACAGCTGTGCTATGTAATGCAACTTAGTGGCCACTCAGAGTATGTGACAAGGACTCAAGTACAGACTGATGGCCATGAAGCAAACTGTAAAGAAAAGACCAACAAATACAAACAGGTCCTTCAAGTTGTGCAACATTTTCTAATCTGATGCCACTATTGGCTACATCATTCAATAATAAATCCCTTTATCTGAACTTACACTTAGTTAGGCAGAAAAAAAACTTGTTTAGGGAAAGAACAGCCGTCTTCTTTGTTAAAGTCTGACTTTTTATTGACTCATGCAACCACCCCGGTTACTTCCCTCAACAGACTTTGTGGCTCTGTAACAATGTCATGCTGCTTCCTCCTTTACTCCTCATGGACAAGGCCACTAGAAGGCTTAGTCACTTGGGCGTAAACATACGTTCTTTTGGACATTTGCTGAAATTACTGATGCTGTCGTTTTTCTTGGGAGGACAGTTTTAAAAACACATTCACAAGCGTCAATCATCATCAACAGGTTTACTCTGATGTAATTAAATAGCAGTCTCTCACTTCATTGCACAGGCTGATGGCTGGCACAGTGGGGGCCTTCAGAAGATGAATGGCTAGGACCTTCTTAAGATTAACTCGTGTGTGTGCATGTGTGTGTGCATGTGTATGGAAAAATCTGCCCAAGCAAGCTTGATTATGTGTGTCTGAACCTGTGTTTCTTGTTTGTTTGTGCGCTTAACTTGACTGACAAACTAAATGTCAAACTAAATGACGGGTTCCTTCCTTTTCCTCACCTGAAGCCTTCTGTGGCTGACCCTTCCACTCAAATAAACATGTGTTATTGTGTGTATGTTTAAGCTCCAAGCACCCGTATCTAACATGTTGGTGCAACAGCGGCAATAACATCATTAAGCCTGATAATATGTTTATTGTTAAAGCTAATGCAGTTAGGGTCCGCTGTCCCCATGGGGTTGCTCAGTCTGGGGAGAGAAAGTGGCTAAGTGTGTTTGTGGTTTGTCGGTCTGCTGTGAGTTGTATGAATTTATTTGGGGTGAACATAGCTCGAGTTTATGTGTGTTTTCTTCAAGTTTTCTGATGCATTATGCTTCTTGCAAGGATACAAAGTGAGTGTATGCACACGTGTGTATAGTTATTCATAAGATGACGAGGTATGTAGAGGGATTCTGGGGGGTCCTTGTGTTTTTATTACCTGCTGGTGGCCTCCTGCCAGCATCCAGCTTGATTAACTCTACCCTTTTTTGCTTTACACACACACAGATGCTTATGCACACACACAACCAGCTACTTTATCACTCAGAGTGCGCGGGAGGTGTGAGGGAATAGCAGCTAAGGTTCTCAAAATGTTATTATCTATTAAAAGCCTGAGGAGGAGGCACAGGGCGCCACTGTTACTCTTTATGTCTTCTCTTTGGTTGATTTCAAGGAGAGCTTTTAAAAGAGAGGAAATCCACACACTTCCACCTGCGCAAGTGTGGTTTTTGGTAGTCAGTGATTTATTGTTGAAGTTTGAGCGTGTTTAAACCTTGATTCCTGGATACTGATGTTCTCAGTTTGTGTGTATTTAAACAGACGTCTACAGTGCTGTACGACAGTAGCATTTCACATCAGGATTTAACACACATACACACACAGTCACACTCACAAGGAAGCAATTTGCTCTTCCACAAAAAGAGCGTAATTCGGTAAAGACAGACTGTGCCTCGCTCTCTCCTGTTACTCATGTGTGGCAGCTGGTAACCAAAGGGCCAGTGGAAGGCTTTGGGGTTTCACTTAAGTCATTTTGTGCTCAATTTATTTTGTGTATCACAGGAGGCAGTGTGAGATGGTTCGACTAACAGTTTTTAGCATGCTATTATACCCCATTGATATAGATGGAGGATGTGGCTCACCTTCAGCAGCCACTGACTCTCAGTACGTGAAAGATACATTTCTGGAGTACGATTAACCCAGTGAGATTCATTTCAGCTAACAATAAAACTACAACATTATTCATAAGGAAGAAACCCTATTGTAGTTTCACATTTCACATATTCAAATATCTTAAAATTTAATTACAGAATTATTCCCATTTATTAGAGTCTAGTAAAGAGCCAAATCATGTCTTGTTTTCTTGCTCGGTACAACCTCCATCCATCATTCACTGTGTTAGCTCCCGCAGGGCTAACCTCTCTGCCTCATGCCGCTTCCTGCTCATCAATCAGTCATTTACTGGAGAACTTCCGGGTCAAGGTTCAGAAGAGAAACACATTTCAGTCCTCTGCAGAGGTTTACTGTACTGTGTAGAGGGAAGAAAAAGCCAATTTTCATTGTAAATTTGGGTAAAGCCGGAACGCACAGTGCAACTGTAGCTCAGTCAACCTTCGCTGTATGATAAAGGTCAAGGTGAGGAAAAATCCATTTTAGTATTTTCTTTTCTTTATAAAATATAGAGTGCAGGACAAAAAAGGAGTAAGGATAAGAGGAGTAGGCCAAGGAGTGAGAAAGGAGGGAGGGGGACGGAGCAGCTTGTGAGATCAAGGTCGTATCCAGGCTTTAGTATTGGTATTCTCCTCAGTGTTAAAGTGATTCTCCCAGTGAATAGTGTTTTCATTCCTCTCCTGAATGAGATTCACAGGAGCATGGAGAGAGAGAGAGAGAG